TGTGGGTGCTGGGATTCGAACCCGGGTCTTCTGCAAGAGCCACCAGTGTTCATAATTGTTGAGGTATCTCTCCAGCCCATTTTGGTCAGTTTTTATCATAGCAATAGAGAAGCAAACTGCAACTTGTTAAAAAAGCATGTGAGCAAATATGAAGAAATGCCTCATGTGGTTAATTAAAACTGGTAGTAAATAGGAATGCCAGTTGGCAAGAAGTAGAATCATAGGAGGTTTTCGTGCCATCTGCTGAAGTGTAGACAGCTATGAGCAGGAGAGTACCTATGCTGCTATTGTTCATTGTGTTTTATTTTCTATTAATGGACAGAAAATTAATAGGAAATCCTGCCACTACTGCAGTACTGAAGGAAGCAGCAGGACTGGCACTGGTGTGGCCCTTGCACTGAGGGCAGTCATGGGGAAGAACACACTGGGCTGGTCTACGTTGCTGCTCAAAACAGCCTAACTATTGGGAGACCAGACTCATAGCTGAGTATGTTTGTTGAGCTCTCATGGATTTGAGTATTCAAAAGATGTTACAAGTCAGGTGTGAAGACACACACCTGTAATTTTAGCACTTGGGAGGCTGGGGCAGGAGCATGAGCTCCAAGCCAGTCTGTGTATGTAACAAGAACCTGATCTTCTCCCCCCAAAAAATCATGCTGCATAGACAAAATAAATCCAGTATCTACAATGTGACTATCTAAATTGCTCGAAATGTGGCTGTTTGCAACTATTTGGCCATTATCATCAACCTGTCAGTAACACTGATATAATACCTACCTTTTATCTGAAAAAAAAAGCTTAAATAACAGTAACTAGAATCAGCATAAAGGATATAAATGAGTAATGAATCTGTTACTATTTATGGATTGAAGTGTATGTATCATAAACTAGGCTTGATCATATGACTAAAGTGCAACAAATCAGCTTGAAAACTGTTAAAATAGCTTTGAGTTTGAATAGCTGCCACTTAAAAGCAATTATTTCAGCTGGGCTTGGTGGCGCATGCCTTTAATCCCAGCATGCAAGAGTCAGAGGCAGGCGGATCTCTGTGAGTTCAAGGCCAGCCTGGTCTACATAGTGAGTTCCAGGACAGCTGGAACTCAAAGACCGAAAAAAAAAAAAAAAAAAAAAAGCAATTATTTCATTGTCAGAGTATCAGATAGTTGTAAAGATAGGAAATGTTAGAATAAATGGCAAGACAGAAAAATGTTTATAACTTTTGTTTGGAGTTACACCAGGCTTTAGGTTCCTGACAAATATATTGCTTCTATCCTTTAAAACTTAAGGTCAACTACATATATATGGAAGCATTAATTAGCAATTACTACATACTTTTTGAATAAGAAGCCTCAAACTTTGGTTATACTTTCAATCTAATGTTTTATTTAAATTATATTTATGGTATAGAGACCCTGAAATAATTTTTGATCAATGGGGGGGGTACATAAGCATAAGGGTATTTTCTAACATGAAAGACCTACCAGCATTAATATGACATGTAAAATTTCCTCACCACTTTGTAATTAGTATTCAAAGTGAGTACAGGACTCTAATAAGCACGTTAAATCTTATTAGTGAAGCAGAGCTGTCCAAATGTGACCCAGGACTTAGGTGTTGACCTTAGACAGTGGCTAAACCCACTGGAGCACATCCCTAGTATCTTCTACTAGAGTTTACTGGGACAAATTCCTTCTTACTACAGGTGTGCCTAAGCTGTTGGGACTCAGAAGTCATCAGCACACTATGTGGTGACTAAAAATCATGGGGTTAGGGGCTCAGTGGAGAGATGGTTCAGTGTTTAAGAGCACCAACTGCTCTTGCAGAGGACCTGGGTTAGATTCCCAACACCCACATGGCAGCTACGAACTGTCCTTAACTCCAGTTCCAGGGGAATCCGAAGCCCTCTTCTGACTTCTGTGGCACTGCACGACACGGGTGCATTCGCATACATGCAGGCAATACACTCATACACATAAAAAAAAAAAAAATCATGGGGTTGAAGAGATGGCTCCTCTTGCAAAGGCCCTGGGTTTGATTCCCAGCACCCACATGGCAGCTACTAACTGTAACTCCAGTTCCAGGGGATCTGATGCCCTCTTCTAGCCTCTGTGGACATTGCATGACATGGGTGCACTTACATGCGGACAATACACTCATACACACAAAATAATTAAAAAAAAAAAAAAAAAAAAGCAGGCCTAGAGAGGCAAGCCAGAGAGAGAAAGGCAATCAGACTCTGTAAGAGATTCTTGTTTCTGCAAACTTGAGTCCCTGAACTTGACTGACTGTCTTCCTGGCTTCCTTTTACTGTTGGCACTTTTTAGGCTCTGTGCTTGCCATGGATGGACAAAGACCTAACTAAGAAACGTTCCAGCATATGTGGAGAAAACTTTCATTGGGATGGAGATGATATACCAGGAATGAAGTATGTTTTGTTATCTATGGTCCTTTGTCCACACTAGGCAATTACCTGCACCCCCAGCCCTACTATGCTTTAAAATATGTTTTAACATATTAAATAAAATATGCTTTAACAGACCCTCCAGTTTATTCAGATGTACACTAAATGGTGAAGAGTTCAGAACTACTGTCCTTGCCAGTGTTTTAATCCATAATACACCTGTGCTTCACTGCCATCAATTTTCTGAAAAAAACAAACTATGAAACTTATGTTAACAATACTAAGATCACAGGTGCATGGAGCAGAAATAAAGCATTATCTTTGTGAACATCACCAGAGAAATAATCACCTGCATAATGTAGGCAACAATTCTGAGATGGGAACCTGGCAGCTGATAGGAGATGCTGACTGGGTCAAAAGATCTTTAAAAATCCAGGGAATAAAATGACTTCCATTCTTTACAATTCAGTAGTTCTAAAAGGAAACAATGATTGTGAAAAGTTTTTTAAAAAGGCATTAAGTCTTTCAAAGTAAGAACCTCAATTGGAACATGGCTTTCCATCTAACTGTCACCAGCCTCCTTCCCCATTTCCAAATTATCCTTAGCATCTTCTAAGTGTCTTAATTAGAAACACATTTTAGGAACTTAAACCATTTTCACGGTTAAACAGAACTACTATAGAATTAAAAGTAATCTGTGGCTTATTGGTTATTCAAAGAAACTCCTATACATTGCTTCTTTTCCAACTGGCATTATTACCTTTTAAACTGGTTTAACTGGAATTTATTTTTAAGAAGTAAAAAAACATCGATACACTGTTCATTAGATTGCTAAATGTAGCTTTGAAAATATGAAATGCTGCTTTCTTAACTTACAAACCATCTTTATGTGTGTCTGTTATTAGGTAAGAAACCTGAATATAAAGTTATGCTATTAAACATTTTTCTTTAGACTAAAAAGATGTCTTCTTCCAGGGCAAAATCTTAATTTTCTACAAGGCTTTAGCAGTATTTTGATGAAATTCTGGTATTGAGCCAGGTTTTTAAAATTCAATATCCAAAGACTAATCACCCTATTTTTCAGATCAAAAAAGTAACTTTGTGTTTTTAGTTATGGGTAGAAAATACTGGGAACTCATATGCACATGCAAATAGTGGACAAAGCATGTGTTGACGAGGCAGAATCATTTTGGGAAATAAGTCCAGGCCTATAGGGATAGTAGTAAAAGGTAAAGCTACATACTAGGTAGTGACAAGTCCATATTTTCCCCTAAAATGATGGCTCTAACTCTTATTTTGACTAACACAAAATTAAATGTTAGAATTGGGGGTGGGGCAGCTGAAGTTCTAATGCTACCATTTAAGACAATGTTTATCACACACCTAAACAGGCCAATGGCTTCTGCCAGCAGCTCTATAAAAAGCAACAAGATTCAAATACTCTGCCCCCTAAAATGTCACAATGGTAAACCCAACAACACAACACATTTTGTGTATTTACCCTTTGAACAATGTAAACAAAATAGAATTTTCTACCCTAGGATTGCATTATCTTTACCATCTATTTCTTCAGACTCTACAATCGCCCTTTGGTATACATTAACAAACGTATATAAAATGTAATTTTCGTTGCAGAATGAACAATAAAACCAGTTGGCTTCAAATACTATATTTTTGTTTTAAACTAGAACGTGTGACATTGAGAGTTACTTTTGACCTTATTAAGTCCCTGAAGAGATAAGTACTAGGTGAGATCTCGAGCTCCTGGTCCATGTCCTCACTGACTTAGATTGTTAGCTAACTCCCTAAACTGCTCCAAGCTGCTGTGTAATGAGTAAAGCAGTATGAGCAACTGTCCAGCACAAGTAATGGCCAGACTTAAGGGTCCAAATGAGGAAAGGGAAAACCATAAAACTGTGACATCAGAAAAAAAAAAAATCCTGGAAAGCAAAGAAATCATCTTAAAATAAGGGAAGACAAATTTCTTGTAATCTTTTAGTAAATTAAGATTAGAAAAGCTAAATAAGTTAAATTCACTGGCTGCTCTTGCAGAGGACCAGGGTTGTTCCCAGCACCTACATGGCAGCTATCAACCATCTAGTACCCTAGTTCCAGGGGATCTGACACCCTCTTCTGTCCTCTGCAGGCATTAAATTCACAGATGCACTTACATACATGCAGGCAAGACACTCATACACATAAAAATAATTTGTTGTTGTTTTTGACTGGGTCTCCCTAGTTCTAGCCTACCTGGAAGACATTATGTGAACCAGACTGACCTCAATCTCACAGAGATTTACTTGCCTCTGCCTCTGCCTCCCCAGGGCAGGGGTTAAAGGCGTGTGCCACCACACCTGGAATTAATTTTTTTTTTAATTAAAAAAAAACAAACCAAAACATACTGAAATACAGTGTACAGAATTTAGTCAGTATCAACAGTCCTTCTCTGCAGGCTAGGGGTAATGAACAAATTCATACAACTTTTCCAGAGCCATTTAAAAAATACAGACACTAATGAGATAATAGTTACTTAAATGAGATGAAATCACAAAATGGATGTAAGTTTATAAACTGGATAAAATTAAGAGTAGATATTAAATACTGTTTTAATGAATCCACTTCCTTTATTGCAGTAACCTCTTTACAAAGCAGCAACTGCAATACTCAAGGTTAAAACATTAGAAAAGCATTTGTGTGAAGTTACAGTACAGTATTATCAAAATATTACATTTTCAACCTTAGTAGATAATCATCCACCAGAGCACAAATCTTTAAATTATTTCCATACTCTTAAAAAACATGTAATGTCAGAAAGTAATATAAAAAGAATTTAAAAGGAAACTTAAAATACATAGGAAACAATGCAACAAATAAATATTTGATTTAATTAACAGTTAATAATCAATACCAACATTCTCTCTGAACCCACTGAATTCTTTACCTATAACAGTGAACTCAAATGCCATTGCATAATTATTTCCAAGTTACCATTAATGATTAGGATTAAAAAAAATTGGCAATTAAGATCATCAAAATTCAGCATAAACTAGAAATAGCTTCAACACTAGATAGCATCTCTAAGAATTGCTTGTTGAAATTTTTTTTCTCTTTTCTACTGCAATCTTAAATTTCTGACCTGGTATCTAGTGTTAGGTAATGTATTTTTTAAAAGTGGAAAGTTTCTTACATTATTTCACAGACATTCCCCTTCCTATTAATGTATATTTAGGTGAGTTTTATGTATTTTATACATACACGTATGATGTAGGACATTTGGTTCCTGTAATACAGGTCATAGTGATGTTGTCCTGAATGGGAAAAACCTTAAAAAAAAAAAAAAAAAGCAAGTGTACCTGTGTACATTTCAAGATAGCAGCACTCAGTCCACGCCCTATTATCCAGTTAGAAAATTCACACATTATTGCATATTGAATGTGACATCTGCTTTCCCCCCAAACACTGCAAAACTTACAATAAATGGAAAAATGATGTATTATAATGTAGAAAAACTTTTAGAAAATAGTTACTTCATTTTCTTAATATTCTGAATTAAAACTCTCAGACCTCCAACTTAATTTAGTTCATATTCATGCAGCAAAAATACTGCATCACTGAAAATAATTCTGTAACATTTCTATTAAGATGCATGAAAGCCTGTATAAATTCTCTACCACTGAAACTTATCAATGAATCTACTGACAGTACCTTTATCTAACTGGATAATTATAAGAGGCTACATTATGACCTTCAAATTGTCTTTGTTCTCTTGAAACCTGTAATCTATTGATCTGATTTTGAACATGCTAAAGAAAAAACTTCAGCCTACTGAATCATGATCACTTTAAAATGTGGAACACCAGCAACATAAATTTCATTACATATATATATATATATATGTGCACTTGTGTACGCATATACATACACACATACAGACATGTAGACATAAATCTCTTGAAATGTTTTTGGGAAATCCTTCCTTGAAAAATAAGAAACTTCTCATTAACAACTGTATATAAACCTTTCGGTAACAGGACATATGCACTGTCAAAAGTGTACTAGTAGACTGCGGTGTCAATCAGATGCACAAACTGGCAGTTTTTTTTTTTTTTAAACACAAAAGTTTTAAAGTATTAAGAATAGATTAAATGTCAATGTTCAGAATAATCTGTTCAAACCTGAGTGTATTAAGACTAAATGTACTTGATACTCGAATGAATTAAGCCTAAAAATATTTCACTAAGAAACCCATGGTCCATTTAACCATTTGATGAAACACTTTAAAGATTTATAAAAGATGGTATAATGTAGTGAAACCCCACCTAGTGTTTGCTGAAATACTCTATTAAATGACATTGCTTTGTCTAGATTTCTTCTAGAAAAAAAAAATCAGTTAGCATATCTTAAATCCCTCACATTTTAGGGAAATTCTAAGTTAGGACAGATCTCTTAGTTTAAATACAAATGTTCTTGAGGATCTTTGTTTGAAAAATGATGTGATTTTTCAGCACTTTACATGGACGTCATGGGTACATATCTTTACCCTTCTCTAAGATTTCAAAGAAATAATGACGAATGGGAAATTGGGAGCTTCATAAGGTGTTTGGGCCTCTTTCCTAGCTCTACATGTTCATACACGCATATAAACCTAACCTTGGGTTTGCGTTTTGGTTACTTTTCTCTACATTTTTTATTAGCATGTCCTAATCCTCATCTTTAAATTCTAAGAGATATTTCTACAAAAGTAACAGGAAACACATAGTACTCAACACTAATTGGTCAATGCAAGATGGAAAGCAACTTCCACTTTGTTTTAAGGTGGAAGAGATTAGAAATAAAAATATCTGAAGGCAAAGTTTGATATTCTATAAATTTATAAAAGAGGAGAGATATATGAATGAAATTTGGTTAATTTCAGAAGGCACCTCAAGGTTAAAGGCTTTTTGTACTCCTTTCATCAATCAAAAAAATAACACACTCTTATTGCTATTCAAGTAGCAAAGGAAAACTTTACTTTCATGAGCTTCAGTTCAACAAGAAAGAATCACCATTCATTAAACTGAGATATGGAACCGACTAAAACTAAAGTCTCCATACATCCACCAGTGGAGCAACTTTCCCATGTGCTTTCAAATAAAGTAAACAGTGAAAGAAAAGTCCCAGTTGGCCACTGTGATGTTGAGCTGTTACTGACGATTTCAGTCACTTCACTAGGCACTAAGTACCAATCCGAAGGACAGCCCACTGTGTACAACAATTAAGAATAGAAGGTAAGGACACTCTGATGATTCCCACGGACAAGGAGGATTGGGGGAAGGTCCTTAGATAGAGCTTCCAACCATGCCATGTAGAGAGCACTGGACACAGCACCTTTCCGTGCAACTGGCAGACTCCTGGAACAGAATGAGAAAGAACACTGACCAATGCTTTCGAGAAGAAAATGGAACAATTTTAAATTAAGTCATAAGGCAAGTAGCTAAAAATTCCTAGAATTATAAAATACTTCTGACTGTAGAGATTCTGCACAGATATGGCAGGAACTACTATGCCCTCATATCACTATTCCCGTATTTCAGCTTTCAACAAAAGGTTTTTTAAACATCTGTTCGTCAGAATAGATACAATCATTCCTGTGCACTGTAAGATATATAATGCGTATTTGACCCTAAATGTCAAATTTCCCCTTCAATAAGGGTAAAATTATTTAGAAGGTGTCTTTCTGTCAGAACTTAAGACAATGGAAGCTTAGATAATGAAATGCCAACATAATTAATTCTATGTATTTTTAATCTTCCCTTATGAGTTATAATTTCTATTTACAGATCATGCTAATAGTAACCTCTTGACCTATAAAGATTGATTCTAAATTGTTATGTTTTAATATGCCTTCCATTATAGGAATTTGATCACCATCAGCAAAAATTGAAACTTAATACTGTGTTTGTCGCTAGCCAAACTTTCACTCCGCTACTATGTTTCACCATTTGTTATGGTTTCTGGAAGCCTGAGCTTTTATCTATTTAAGGACACAAAACTAGGAACAGAAATCTCAGGTTCCAGCAATATCTAGTGAACATAGTTCAGTAGAGGAAAGCCTCAAGTAGGTATCAGCATGTATATATAATTCAAAGGCAGTGTATCTCTATGGAAAGCTTGTGTGACAGAAATGTGGGATTGAGGACTGTTTATGTCTGAACATGAACCACTATATCAATTTAATCTTCTAAATAAGTTTTTACTAGTATTTTTATGAGTAAGTTGTCTGGGATCTAAATTCTAATGTGGGTTCCTCCTATACCACACATATTCTTGGCTAGGGTGAAGTGTTTCCAAAGCACCCGGGTCTTCTGCAAGAATAGCCATCTCTCCAGCCCCAAAGCAAAGGAATTTTTAAAAGCTTAAAGTTAAAGAAAAATACATTAAAAAGTTCAAACTAACTTACATAATAAAGAATTAACTTAGCCTGATACAATCTTAATGTTAAGGGTTTAATTTGTCTTTTCTCCAAACATAAAAATTAGCTCCATATACTTAAAGTGAAGCATATTCAAGAAATTTCCTTTCTATAGAAAATGTCCCTTTAATTAATTTCTATTCCAAGTATTTATCAGCCAGGCTTGGTGACACTGTCCTGAAACCCCAGCACTTGGAAGACAAAGGTGGGAGAGAGAGCTCCTGTAAATCTGAGGCCAATCTGGACTATATAGCAAGACTCTGTATTCAAAGACCCAACAACTGTGACATGGTGACTGTTATGGGGAAAAATAAACTGCTTTGACTGGCTTTAATGCCTACTCCACAGAAGGGAATTCATGCCCACTAAGGTACTGTAAACCTGGGCAAAAGCCCATGTCTGGGAGAGGTCATATAGCCCTAGGGGGAAACCTGCTACTGTTGTTTTGCTAAGTGGTCTTCCTGTCTAACTGCTTTCTAAATATTTATGTGTATACCACCCATAATTAGTGCTACTCTAATCTTAGAGAAGCTGTTTTCTGAAGTGGGGTGTGGTTAATGCATTAACTCATAGCTGGTCAAAGTGATGAGAATGAGCGACTCTGAGGTTAGCTATAAACGGGCATCTGTATCACAGACTTCTCCCTCCACCCACCCAAGGCTCAGGGAACATGGAAGAAGAGTGGGCAGAAATAGTAAAGAGTCAGAGGACCAGGAGAAGTGCTGTGAAATGCTGCTTTCTGGGAATGACATGGCCATTGCACTCATGAACTCACATAGCTCTGGTTGCCTGCACAAGACTGAACTAGTCCAAATTCCAGCATGGATCTGAGGAGGGTCTCATGAGATGCCACCTGTAGCTAAGGAGCAACTGACAGCTGAGGGCTGGAGGGGAAAAGTTATTTTTCTTCGTGGATGTGCCCACTGGGAGATTGGCCATGCCCCAGGAGATGGCCCACATCCATACACATACAGGTATCACTAATTGGACTCCGGATTATTAAGAAACAGTAACACGGAGCTGGAGAGATGGCTCAGAGGTTAAGAACACTGGTTGTTCTTGCAGAAGACCTGGGTTCGAATCCCAGCACCCATATGGCAGCTAACAACTGTCTGCAACCCCAGTTCCAGGGGATCCAATGACCTCTTCTGTTCTCCCCAGGCACTGCATGACACAGGTGCACTTACCTACATAAGATACACTCACGCACATTAAAAAAAAAAAAAAAAAAAGAAACAGTAACAAAAACTACAAGGGTCTGAAGAGATGGCTCAGCAATTAAGAGTTAGTAATGCTTTTGCAGAGAACCTGGTTCTAGTCCGAGCACCCCCATCAGGCAGCTCCTAACTGCTCTGTAACTCCAGTTCAAGGGATCTGACACTCTGGTCTCTGGTGGCACCTGCGTGCATACCTCACCCCTGACACATAATTAAAATAATAAGTTAAATACCTGGAGCGGTGGTGCACATGCTTACCCTTGATCCCAGCACTAAGGAGGCAGAGGCAGGTGGATTTGTGAGATTAAGGCCAACCTGGTGAGTTACATAGTGAGTTACAGCTAGGGCTACAGGGAGACCGAGCCTGTCTCAAAAAGACCAAAAAAAAAAAAGTGTAAAAAAACCAAGAAGTACAACAAAAAAAGGACATGAAATTGGGAGGGGAGATGTTGAGGTGATGGTGGGGTTCCTGGGGAGGCTAGAAATGGGTAGTGAGTAGTGGGTAATGTATATGATCAAAGTATATCAAATACATGTATAAAATTCTCAATGGATAAAAAAATATATGTATTTTAAAAGCCCCTAAAGGGTACATTATCAGGTGAGTGTGATGGTGTATTCTATGATCCCAGGATTCAGGAGGATAAGATGGGAAGACTTCAGATTAAAGGCCTGCTCTGGGTGAGACCCTACCTCAAGAAAAACAGAAAAAAGGTACATTTTCATAAAAATAGCCAAAATCTTATTACAACAGTACTTACATGACAATAATATTAGCTGTGCCTGAATGCTCCTTTAATAATTCATTTAACCTGATCTGCCGGTATGTCTGAAAGGAAACAGGACAGAATCATTCCTAGACTTTGTGAAAATTAGAATCTACAACAGTTTAAGGCTCAGTGTACAGTGCTTATAAATGCATGTGAGGTCATGGGTTAAGTCCTCAGTACTACTAAAAATTAAAAATGAAGAAAACTAGCATGGTTCATAAAACAAGTAGTGAAAACAAATAATTTTTTGTGCAATAAAATACCATTTAGAAAAAGTTTGATGCTTCTCACCATTCCTAGATGAGATGACCTTAAAAGGAGTTTTAATTTACACAGCTGTATTTTCTCTCATACCAAATTGCAATGCTTGGTGTTTCGATCTTCAGAATTTAATTGAACAAGAGAAACAGAAATGAAAGAATACCTTGGTCTTATAAAGCTCAAGCTCATTATCTGTTATTCGCCATGGCTCATCTTCCTTCATTTTATCTGCAATGTCCTGTTCTTTATCATCTTCATGAAGTCTGTATGGCTCAATCATTTCATCAAAAGCTACAATACTTAAGAATAGAAACAATACTGAAAATCTTATTTTAAATTGCAACTTCTTATAGACTTACAATCATTTTTATAATTTAGTTGGAAAATAGCAATTTCCAGTCTCTTGACTTGGTTAGAAATTTAGGACTGTACTGATAATAAAACTGGAGCTAAGGCTGATCTCCCTGGATCTAGCCTACATACAGTCGATCACATTATCCAAATTGATTCCTTTGAGTGATAAGTCAAATACAACTTTGCTCAAAATCTTTTCCAATTCAATTTAAAAACAAATACAATTCATTCAGCATATATCTGAGAATTGTTACAATTATATCTGGTAAAATATATCCTCCAACATAACAGCCTATGCCGTTTTCAGACTGATTGTCCCAAAATGAGAAATGGTTAAACTAGGAGAATCCTGACTGCAACTATTACTGGCAAATTCTTATATTTTTACAATAAAACTAAAGGAAAGTAATATGGATGTAAAGACAGAATCAAATGCATATTGTGACTGTGAGCAGAAACACACCTGAGATTAAACTACCTGGAACTTCTGTGACTAATGCTCCAGAACACAAGTGTAAAGGAGAAAGTGAAACCATATCTGAAAACTGAGAACTCTACTTCAGCATCACTGGCATGCCAACTGGCTTGACATATAACTCAGGGCAGAGAAAAAGTCCAGGTAATTATTTTAAGTTAAATTATCCGTGTTTGCCATGGCCTATCCATAAAAGGACTAGAAACTTACGTAGAATAATTTATCCAGCAACTTACTTTTCTTTCTTTGGTTTCGTATTGATATCTCCTAGGACCATGATATCAGAGAAGTCTATTCGGAATTTACTAAGTAAAGTAGCCATCCTACATTAAAACAAATAACATTTAGACATAAATGTTACCAAGTATTTTCATTCTATATAGAGCTGAATCTATGTATGTGAAAAGCATGATTTACAGGATTTATCTGGTGCCAAACAAATTTCATCTGAATTAACTCATACTCTATATTCACAAAGAAAACATCTAAACTGTCTAAGCAGAGACCACTGTCTCCCTGTAGCCCCAGATGACCTGGAACTATATAGATCAGGCTGACTTGAACTCACAGAGATCTGCTTGCCTCTGCCTCCCCAGTGCTGGGATCAAAGGCGAGTGCCATCATGCCCAGCGACTACTGTTCTATTTTTAATGCTCTCTTACTTTAGTAACTATAATGGTTGAAGAATCTGCATGTGTCTTTGAGGAAGTTTCCAGAGTTACTGAGGAGGGAAGACACAGTGTAAATGTGTGGGTGACACTATTCTATGGGCTGGGTCCCAGACTGAGTAAAAGGTGGGGAGGCAAACTGAGCAGCAGCATTCATTTGTTTCCTGACTGCAGACATACCTGCCACCACGCCTTCCTGTCATGGTGGATTATGCCTTCATAATGTAAGCCAAAACAAACTCACCCTTTTCTTAAGTTGCTTTTGTCAGGTATTCTACCACTGCATGAGAAAAATAACTAATACAGTGCCCAATAATGGGTGAACAAAGATATTCATAATGAACTCTTAGTGACAGCTAGTTTGATAGCAATTAATTTTAGTCAAAGTACATTGGTAATCATATGTATAATAATCAGTTAACCAAATTTAAACTATTGTGTGAGTCCATACAGAAAATTTATCTCAAAATATTTCAGGGTTGGGGCTGGAGAAATGGCGCAGTGGTTAAGAGCACTGGCTGCTCTTGCAGAGGACCTAGGTTCAATTCTCAGCACCTACATGGTGGCTAACAACCATCCACTCCAGTTCCAGGGGATCTGATGCCCTCTTCTGACTTCTGCAGGCATTACAGAACATGGGTGCACTTGCATATATGCATACACATACAATAAACATAATAAAATATTTAAAAATTTTTTCAAGGTTCAAATAGAACTTCTGGGGCTAAATTGATAGAGTTCATGGAAAAGCAAGTTCATGATGTTTGGTTTTGGTGCTGGCCAGGAAGATGGGAAGATACGGAAAAGAAATTCCGACAAATCTGACTTTTTGGTAAATAACGAAATGAAACGTTGGGGCTAACAACAGAGAAGTTGAAAAATACTCAAGAAAAGCTACTAATAAAACAAGATTCAATGTTTACTACAATGACAGCTTTTAAAGTTATTAGAGGACAGATGAATTTTAGTTTACTAGTATTTCTTATAGAATTCACAGTTGAAAATGAATGAATGCCTAGCTGAATTCTCTCTCGAAAGTACAATTTGCTAGTATTATAGAGCCCACAAAATTCAAATTTAAGAAAGTGATAAATGTTATCTATCAAGTGTAAATGGAGTCAAGAAGGTAATATTAATACTCACTGGGACTGGGGAGATCCAAGGGAAAAATATAACAGGGCCCTACATTGTGAAGAATGGGGTTGCTTTCAAAAGAATGGAGTATTTAAGCAGAGAGAAGGGAGGTAAATAAGGAACTCTACAGATAAGAGCAGGTAAAACAACAAAAACCTGACATCCCAATACTGTGGACAGTATGCACAAAGAGATACAGTGAACACAGGGCACGTTTATAGGAATGAGGATAAGAATGAAAAGGGAACAGGCAAACAGATTTCAAGGACCTTGACTGCCACATTACAGTGATCAGTGACTGCATTCTAGTAGGTAGCTCATGGAGAAGTGGTTACAGTGTTTGGTGTAGCAGAATCAGTCAAAACTCTTTAAGCTTTCCACATGAAACAGCAGCAATGTGTGCAATACACTGGGGCCCAGAGCAGGAGAACACCAGAGTCAGCTCCTGGCAGTGCAGACAGGCAGATGGCAGTGGATGTCAAGAGCACCATGAACTCCTTTCTGTTGTCTCCAAGTTCACAAAATTGCTCTCTATATGAACATGCAATAGTCTGTGCACTTTCTCTAAAAAGAAAAGCTCTGCCTTTAACATTTTAACAGCGTTAAGTACTTAATATAAACCTTCTAAAATGTCTATCTGTTAAAAATAATCACATCTAAGTAAAATTATATAGTTACTACAAATATGGAGGTCAAATCAAAGAGAATGAGGCTATAGTCTAGTTAAAGACTTTTGAAGTTCAGTATAGAACAGCATGGTTAGCATTTTCTGGCTTACATGGTTTTTATCATGATAGTACTATTCAATTAATGCTCTCCAATTGAAAAATAAACTTACGCTCTCCGGTCATGGTCTATTCTGTTTATTTTTCCACCAATGAATACTCTGATCTTACAATCTTTCCACTTTTTCTTCGTAGTCAGAAGATACGGTATCAACAAGGTCAAACCTGAATTATAAAAATATAAGAAATCATTTTTTAAATGCCAGTATCTCACACAAGAACTTTTATTTTCTACTTAGTCTTGACATTTACTATAACTCAATGTAAAGCAAAATCATTCTGTTTGGTTTGAGGCAGGGTCTCCTGGTAGCCCTAGCTGGCCTGATACTCATTTTGTAAACCAGGCTAGGCTTGATCTCACCAAAGATCTGCCTGCCTCTTCCTCCAGAGTGCTGAGATTAAAGCTACCATGCCCAGTAGCAAAATTCCTGTCCTTCCTTGATAATTCGGACAAGGAGGAAGGTCCAAGAGTCACAGTTCTAAGTAAAGCAATCAAATTGCATGGTGGCCTGGCAGTCAGAAAATTAGTAACATATAGAAAGGTTGAAATGAAAACTAATGGAAACAAACTTCATATAGAAAACGAGAAATATGAAAAGGGAAAAAATGGATTAGAGTTAGCTTTCAAATTCTGTATCTGTACATCTGTACACACAGAGATATGTAAATTTTATATACATATATTTCCCAGCTCTGCCCAATGAGAGGACCTGGGAGCAGTATCGCCCAAGAAGCCACAAGCATATCTAAGAGTCTGAAATTTGCTTCCGAGCACTATTCTAAAAGGACCAAGCTTCCTTGGATAAACGGTCCCTTCCATGCCTAGTACATGGAAAGTACAAACTCCAATGTATAGGGCATGACAAATGAGCATGTAAACCAGCCTAGGGAAGATCCTGGAGCTAGACTAGACTGGACAATCTGAACATCATACAAACACATGATGAGTGCAACAAAGTATCCTACAGAGTAAAAGAAGAACCAACGAGCTGACAAACAAATGAAGAGATAGCTCTTCCTACAGTGAAATGCCAACCAATCAATGTAGAACAAAGAAAACTCATTATTTGGCAACCACTATAAATTTAGAAACATCAGTGGATGCTAAAGACAGGTCTAACAGTTACAGGAAGAATGGTTTATTTACAGAACCTGCAAGAAACCCACCACATCTGTAATCATAATAAAGACGCAAAACACTTCTTTGAATGGATAAAACGGGAAAAAACACACTTTATTCAACAGTTTAACTCCACAACATCATATACTACTCTTATGAGATTCCACAGAGGAGCAGAGCACCACTTCTGTGGTATTTTCGTCAAAAATATTTAACCTAAAAACCTACAAGAAGCAATCTAATTGCATTCCAAATTGTGTGAAATTCCACAAATTGGTCTACACTAGTTAAGAAAATGGTATGGTCATAAAGTCCCTGGAGGTATTATGGACCTTCCACATGAAGGATCCCTAAGAGACCTGACAGCTATGCCTACTTTACACAGTGATCCTTGTGCTGTATGAGAATGCTGCCAAGGCTTGAACAGGGCATAGAAGTGAAAATGTATACCATTTCTCAGCATTATTCTTAGAATTTCAGTAAATTTCAAATTACTTAAAAAATACATTAATGACCTTACCTCCATCATCAAAAAGCCACCAGACATCAATAGTATTCTTCCCTTGTTTTTTCTGAAACTGTGTACTAGCTTCAAGAAGCTTTTGGTCAGCTATATTTAAAGGTGCAACAGGGCCTTTGGATTCTAAAGGATTAAGCGGAAAATACAAAGTAAGGAAAGCAAATAATAATAGTCATTTTTCTCTATTCCTATAATTTCCTAACCTTTGTAAATTCATTTGTAATGCAGATAGCTATATATGGCTTCCATTATAAACCTGAAGTAGTTTATAAACAAATATACTTTAGGTATAGAAAGGTACTTTTTTTACAATAGCTAAATCCATTAAAATTATCTTAGTTTCTAATATTCTGAAGTATTCTGACGAATGCACAGGAATTCTAAATACCAATCAAATAAATATATTACTGCTTGAGTTTAGATTTTCTAGAAATCTGTATTTTAGGCTAACTAGAGAAATCAAGCTTAAACTTATTTAATAAACTTTCCTTTTATAATCTACTATCTCAATGATTTAAAGTTCAGAAAGGTTTAAAATAAAGAGTTGTATCTGTAACATAAATGATAGGGCACTGAAGAAACAACAAACCAATCTTATCAGTGAAACTGTAGTGAGGAAAACTGCGCTCTTTATCCTTTGTCCCCTCAGTACGTGATGCCCATTTTAAAGCCATATAACCACATCTTTCTGTGAATCACAGAAAGATGGTAGGAACTCCTTGGAAGGGTACGAATTTGAATTTGCTGCATATCTAAAAGAGTTCCCATTTACATTTCCAAGAGTTAAAAAAAAAAAATCATTGGCTCTGTGAGCAAGCAAATGACTATTACAAAACTCCACTACTAAAACTTTTAAAACAGAAATCCACAGGAGGAAATCTGGTTGCTTTTTCAGAAGGGCCATCATTTACTTTTCATGCTGTCATGATGTATGCAAACATGACCAATGATTTTGCATGATGAAATAATATGGCTACCAAACCACACTGCTCCATAACTCTCACCTCTATCTCCTTCTCATAAAATTCATGTACGCTGACATGACTGTATCTCCCAAACGCAGCACGACTGTGAGAAATATCGTAATTTTTGAAATGAAAAATATATTAGTATCAAAATTGAGGATTTTTCTGGGTACAACTGATGGTAAAGAATGCAAGTGACACTGTAAACAAACCTACTCCAGTGTCCCTACTTAACATCTAAACCATGCGGTTTAAATTAAGGAGGAAAAATACTGACTTTCCAGGTCTGAGTATTTCAGAAATGCTATGATTATTTAAAAGACTTTGTGATATACCACCTTGTCCCAATAAGATTTTCACACTTTAGTTGGAATAATATTTTTGCTAATCTGCATTAAACAGATAACTGTAATATCACCTCACCATGGAAATAAAATCTAAAGTAAAAGAAAAAGGAAAATAATAAGGCTGGAGTTAAAGAGCTAACAGTATGAAAAGGGGGATTAAAATAAAATGATGAAAAATGCCTGCCTTTTTTCAACAGTGGTTGAGTTGGAGTCTTGCCATCCTCTTCCTCATCTAGATTATGTTTAGAAAACACAAAATAGTAAGTTAATTGCCTTTATATTCATAAAGTAATGAAAATGTAAATAGAGCACATTTATTAGTAAGACAGTATGAAGCAACAGTCCATAAAAAATGATTAAGACTGAAAATTACTATTTTCTATATTGACTGTTTAAGATTCAAAAAAAAAACATGTATTTTAGACCACACAGAGTGAATGATTAACACTCATGCTTAAATTTTATTCCTATAAAATTATCCAAAAAGAGCCAGCAGATTGTATAAACTTTTAAGCTTCCATACTTGAAATCAGTTGAGAAGATGTCAAACTACAGCTTGTAGAATAGAAGTACAGCACTAAAAAAAATTGTTTTTGCAGATAATACCTAAGTATTAAACATGTCACTACATCACCATGTGAATGACTGAGAAGCAGCTTTAGAAACAGTCAATGAGTACCTGGTGCTTGTAAAAGTTAATTGGCATTTGAAATGTTAAGGAATTTGATCAGAGCTAGAAGTCTTGTTTTATGTAAATGCCAACCTATACAGGAATGGTTTTCTTCAAATAAAATTCATGTACATATGCATGTATACATGCATATATATATATAAAATCATCTTTCTTTCCCCGCCGGGAACAGTCTTTTTTATTTCTCCTAAACTCCCCCAACTCCTGTTGTCCTGAATGTAGGTTTATTAGTTTAAGGTGAACAAAACTCTAGACTTAGAGCATTCCACAGTGGGATCACCAACACTTTCCTAATTTGAGCTAGAACTACTTAACTCCTTTTCTCACTTGTAGGAAACTTGGGGCATCTACTCTTTAGGCTGTCAAACCACTGTAGGCATTGATGGCATGAGCTTAGGGCCTGGCGCAAAGCAAGTATTTAAAGGGTGTTCTTTTTTTTGTCCTCTTGTAAATCATATGCCTCAGTAACCAGGACAGATAAAACTAAACATTGTGACTTTCTAATTATACATCAGAATATTCCTAATTCTGAATCCACAGTATCCACTTCTCTATAATATCTATGTTGATTTAGAGAATTTGCAAAATAGAAAAACAAAACAAAACAAAATCAAGTTATATTACTGAACACTACCTTTTATGCATGTTATGGATAAAAGAACCAATTATTACATTAAAATTTAAATACTGTCATTATAAAATAAATGCTTAAAAGTATCTGCTTTTGATAATTAAAATAATATGGGTATGTTGCATTGATTTTAAAAAGCTCAGAATTGCCAAGGAAATCTTGGCATTTAAATTTTATTTTAAAGTATTTTTATTACTTTATTTATTGATGTGTATTCATGTGTACATGCGCACATGCCACTGTGCACATGTGGACATCAGACAACAACTTACAGGAGTCAGTTTTCTCCTTCCACTATGTGGGTCCTGTGGATGTTGTCAGGTTTGGCAACAAGCACCTTTACCAGCTAAGCCATCTTATCTGTTCCCAAAATGTTTTTTTATTCAAGTTAGGCATCTCAGCTTTTACAACAGAGTAGAAATGTACAAACCTAGTTTCCTATTCTTTGTATGTGGTGACACCTACTAACATATGAGTGTAGAGAAGCTGCTATCTTCCCCTTTCCATACAGCTGTATGCATTAATTCCTAATAGACTATAGAGAAGGGGTCTATTTCTGGCAAGAAAAAATGAGAGAGAGGGTAAAAGAGTGTGATATAAATTAAAATAAATACAAAACATAAATGGAATCAGGTTATGGAGTTTTAAGACAAAACAGAAAATAATAAAGCCAGCCAAGAACAGAAAGGAGAAATGTGCGATAGCTACAACTATTCCAAGCAAACAAGTTACATAGGTAGGAAAATTATAAAGGCAACATCAACACTTTCAATATGCTAAAAGATAAAACTGCACAGAGACATGGTTTAAGGTTATTAATTTCATAAAAAGAATGGTAATCATCTTAGAGAGATCAAAAGTATGCTATGGTTTGATGATTTACAGTGCAGATCTCTTTCTTGTTGCATATCAGCTGGAATAGGACAGATGGAGATACGAGTCTGAACAGAGGCTGGAGGAGAGTGAGGGTAGGAGAGTAAGATTTGGAAGTCATCCCTTTTCCCTTCTCATAGCACGACACAGAAATTTGTGGATGTAGTTATCTGAAAGATTCATTAAAAATTACATGTTCTTTCCAAGCTCAGATTTAATTTCTGCTTCAAACCAAAATATTTAAAGTAAACTTAAAGAAAACCACATAAAACAGTAACTAAGTAATTGACATGGTTTCTATTTTATGGTCCACGTTAAATACTTCAAAATAGCTAGTCATTTTTGAGTCACAAATTTTACCTGGCCAACTAGAGTCAAACAGTATCTCACTTGAGAACAGTGACTTTGTAATGTATATTGTATATAAAAGCCAATACCCCCAAATTAAAACATAAGCATTAATAAAATCTCTTGTTGGAACGAAAGTTACCTTTATGTGTAATGGATTTTTCGCCAGATAGTTTGGAAGTATCAAGATCTGATTTTTTATTATAGTCCACATTTACCACAACATCCTTGGTACCAGGTGATTTCTCTTGTGAAGACAATAATTCTTCTGTAGACATGAAAGTATTTAAAATAGTATTCTAGGTGTCATGGCTTAATAATTAAAACAGTACTATTTATGAAATAGCAAGATTATAATAAATGATACCTTATAGAAACAACCATGATATTTGAAATGATTATACACTCAAATGTCAACTACAAGTGGCTATGATATTTAAGTGAGGTACTGGGAAGTAATGAATGAAATTCCATGTAAAACTCGGATAGCGTAGACAAAAGGATGATATATCATGTCAATCAACTCTACAAAGTTAGCTACAATATAAAAATCTAAATGTAACAAATGTTCACGTGTATGTAAGAGGACAAATGTGTAGAAAGTTATCCACAACTAGAATGCCAAGACCAGAAGTAGAGTCTTTTCCTCATGAGTTCAGCAAAAGTACCAATTCTTCCATTTTAAAGCACTTTGATATTTTTGCCAGGAACTAGTGTATACTTAACTTTTACAGTTAAACAGTTATAAAGACAAATATAACATGAAATTGATAATCTGTTCGTAATCCTCATCATCTATCTGTGTGGACAGAGAGAAGGAACAGAAGTTCTGGGAGACCAGCACTATGCTGGGAGCTAAGAGGTCTTCCTTCCTCTTTAGCCTTCACAACAACTGTAAAAGGTAAGTTACTAGATGTTAATGGACAAGTAAACAAGCCTAGAAGTCACCAAACTTGCCCAGACCACAAAACTAAGGGAAAGACCAAGAGTTTTAAAAAACAGCTACCTGGGTCAAACATCTGTGCTTGTAAAACCCTGAGCTAAATCGTGTAGTATACCAGATCTAAACAATGTAAGGTTTTCAAAAAGTACTTGATCATAATCATAAATATGTGAAAAATACTTCCAAGAACTTTCAAAAAAAATTGGGGGGTATATACCAAGGAGTGGTATAATTGGATCATATGGTAGATTCATTTTTTGTTTTTTGAGAGGCTTTCAGGCCACTGGAAGCTTGCACATGTGAGCTTGCGGCAATGGTGGGATCGAGCACAGGATCCATGTCAACTCAATCAGACAAGGGCCCAGAGTGGAGCGAGGGAAATGAGTGGCAGGTCGGGCCTAGTCTGGGAACTATTGGAGACTGACTACTACTGGGTGAGGAAGAATAGGTCTTACCAACAATCTGTAGATAGGCTGACTAGACTCCAGGGGATGAATTTGCACTGAAGGACATCTGAATACAAATGCCTGACTGGATAAGGCTTAACATGTATGGCAAAATACATGTGGTCCAGTGGGGGGTGGGGGGGTGGGGGGGAACCAAACCAGAGAGAGGGTCTACATTTGATTAAGAACTGTTGTATGAAATGTACAAAAGCTCAATAAAAACAAAAATAAAAAATGTAAAGAAATGTTTTCTTAAAAAAAATTCAATCCCATTTAAATCTCTGGAAGTAGTAGAACTGTATAATTTATTACTCTTTTGAGTAAAAGGGAATACTACTTATAATCATGCAGCACTAATGGGTATGAATCAGGTACCCTAAACCTCAGTTACTTTTATAACAAGAGAGACCGAAAATACTGTTTGCTAGGCTCACTCCAGATAAAGAAAACACATTTTCAGCAAACTATCCTTTTTTTGCTACACAGTCCTCAAGGCATTTCTTTCAAAATTGTAGACTACTCTTAGAAAGAGTAAGAAGGGCAAAACAATTTAAATACCTAGAACAGATGACAACAGTTCATTACATAGCTTATCTATTTAAATTACTTAGCTAATTCTGATGATTTGGTTAATTAATTAGTAAGAGAAAAATGCTAGCTAGCCAAGTGTTAATAAGCTTCTATTTTTACCTTTACTTTAAAAATTATAATTGTAAAACAAAACAAAAAAAAAACAAAAAAAATCATTGTAATTGTAAGCCAGGCACAGTTGGTTGCACACCATTAATCCCAGCACTCTGGAAGCAGAGACAGGTAGATCTCTGTGGAATCAAGGCCAGCTTGATCTATACAGAGAGTTCAGAGAGTTCCAGGCCAGCCAGGTGGGGCTACAGGGAGACCTGTCAACAAAAAAACCAAACACACACACACACACACACACACACACACAGACTGTATAATTTAATATTCTTGACATGACAAAAATTACATACTAATGATAAGGAAAAACATGGCAAGGAATCCAGGAGGATCATAAGATCTTTGTAATGGTAGAAGAGTTTTTTTTTTAATCTTGCTTTTATAAATCAACACATGATAAATGACATAATTACATTCATATCCAAGTGTATATAAAACTGGCAAAATTGGCATGTAACCTATACTGTCCCAATGTGAATAACCACCATCTGGTACGAAAGGGAAGATACAAACACTGGTGGTTTCCAAGTACATTTCATCTTAAGATGCCTCCCAGTAAGTATGTGACACAAAATAGATGGTAATTATGAAAGTTAATGAACTTATGAGAATTATATATAATTGTATAGAAAATTTATGTTTTTAAAATAAGAACTTGTTTTGAACAATATTTACCTTGTCCCTGAAGATGAGAAATGTCCAGCCCTTCCTTTAGGCGAATTACCACTACTCCATATTGTATGTCAAAGGCATCACTATCATGGTAGAGAGAATCACAAAAATTTATGCTCTACATAAAATGAAGACAATCGCATATCTCTAAAATGCTGTTCAACTTTACACGTCTGGTTTTTTTCGATACATTTAAAAAACTAGTGTGTGAGAGATGAGTAGTATAGTTTTCAACCTCACAGTTTTTCTTTCTTCTCTTGTTGTCTAGACCTTTACATTACAGTAATGTGTTACATAAGTAAGAGACTGCATACATGACCACATATGCCATATAGCCTAGATGTGGTCTAGGTTTGTGTAACTATAGTCAATAAAATCACCTAATGACACATTTCCCAGAATGCATACCCATCATTAAACAACACAACTATATTGAGATTTCATATATAGCTGCTTTTTAGAACAGTAACAGTATTTTTAAAAAATTATTTTATTATTTTTATTTTATGTATATGAGTGTATTGCCTGCATGTATGTGAGTGCAGCCGTGTCATGCAATTCCGCAGAGGTCAGAAGAGGGTTTCAGATTCCCCTGGAACTGGAGTTAAGGATGGTTTGTAGCTGCCATTTGGGTGCTGGGAATCAAACCTGGGTCCTCTGTAAGAGCTGTCAGTGCTCTTAACCGCTGAGCCATCTCTCCAGCCAACAGTATTTTTTTTAAAGATTTTTTTAAATTATGTATTTGTATGTGACTATGAATGTCTGTATATGTGCATGCCAGTGCCCACAGAGGCCAGAGGTGTTGGATTCCCCTGTAGTTAGAGTTACAGGCATCTGTGAGCCACCCAATGTAGGTGCTGGGAACCAAATTCAGGTTCTCTGGAAGAGCAGGAAATACTCTGAATCTCTGAACCACCTCGCCAGTGACTCCTCCCACTTCCTACAACAGTATTTTCATCTTCCAAAATAATATGATGGAAAAATAACTTTCCATAGTCTACTACATTTAATTTAGGTTTATACCCTTAAAGCTAAGAGAAATTTCTGAAGATGGAGAAATAGATTCTACAGAAAATGAGAACAGGTTGTAGAGTGTGAAGACAAGTGTGAGTGTGTATGCACATGTGTACATGTTCGTGTGTGTGCATGTTTGTGAAGGTCAGATTCCATATCAAGTGCCCCCCCTCAATTATGCTCTGCATTTTTTGAGGCAGTCTCTTCTAATTTTAAAAAATGCTTTATTTATTACTTTTATTTTATGTATATGAGTGCATGCTTGCATGAATATAAGTGTATCCGTGTTCTGCAATGTCTGCTGAAGTCAGAAGAGAATATTAGGTCCCCTGGAACTGTAGTTATGAACAGTTGCTAGCTATCACATGGGTGTTAAGAATTGAACCCGAGTTCTCTGCAAGAGCAGTCAGTGCTCCTAACTGCTAAGCCATCTCTTTAGCCCCGAGGCAGAGTCTTCCACTAACCTGGAGCTTGCCAATTCAGCTAGACTGGCTGACCAGCAAGACCCAGGCATCCTCCAGGTCTCTAGTGTTTCATGGGCGCCGCTGTGCCCAGTTTTTTACATGAGTACTGGAGATTAAACTCAAACCCTCATGCTTGCATGGCAAGCACTCTGCCAACTGAGCTGACTCTCAAGCCCTAAAGGACAGAATTTTAGAGTATTTTTACTTTCACAAAGCTAGCTTAGAAAAGTAGTTAAAAGAATTTATAGCTACCAAAACCTTGAAAACAGCCTTAAACCCACACTTACAACTCTAAAAACTACATTAAGGAGCGTTAAGTCTCCATTTTGGCTCATGTTTTCCCTTAAATACACTGAAAGAATTTTAAATTTCAAACTTTAAAGTTGTCAGAAGGCTGAGGCAGGAGGATCAACAGTTCAAAGGCAGTCTGTGCCACTGGGACTCTTTCAAAAGATCCCAAACTTCAAGTTTTTTGTAAATATCAGTAATTGGGATGAATTTTATCTTAAATTATTTTTAGCTATGAGTAATTTTCACTATATGTTTATTAAAAATATTAATATAGCTAAGGTTATAATTGTATCATAAAGAAATCATGTAGAAATTAATTTGGCCTCATTCCTGTGGTTAATTAAGGTCAGAAGAAATTCACTGTCAAAAGGCATTCAATAGAGATGCTAACTTTTCTCAACTATATATGGTACTCTAATTCTACAGAAGCAGCAACAATGTTTTAAAGTAGCTAATAAATCAATGGAACAAATGATCAATTTGTTTCAAGAATGCCAGGAAATAAACCCCTAAATTTACTATGGACCGAAACATCTTAATGTTTTAAAAAAACCAAAAAAAAAAAAAAAAAAAAAAAACTGCAAGGAAAATATTAATGGATTCTTTATTACATGATAAAGACTGAACAGTATTATTGTTTCAAAACTGCCCTTAGCTGAGTCTGGTAATACAGGTCTGTAATCTTAGCTATTAGAGAAGCTGAGTTTGGAGTAACACAAATTTAAGGCATGCTTAGGCCTGATCAAGAACAGCTAGAGCAACTTAGTAAGACCCTGACTCAAAGAAAAATTTAAAGGGATGAGAAACTGGGTGTATGGTGGTGAACACCTGTAATCTCAGCATTTGGGTGGTGAAGACAAGAAAATCAGAAATTAACAGGCAGCCCCAGCAACATAGTGAATCTGAGGTCAGCCTGAGTGACATGAGATGCTGTCAGGATAGGACTACAGCTTAGTGATACAGCATGTAGCTAACATGTGCAAGGCCCCTAGGTTCAATTCCTAGTACTCCCAAAACAAAACAAAATAGAATTAACAACAAAACAAGTAAAAATAAGGGTCAGGTAGATAGCAGGATGGCAAGATGGCTCGCTCAGAGTAAAAGTGTTTGCTATCAAGGCTGACAACCTGAGTTCAATACCTGGGATTCACATATTGGAAGGAAAGAACCTATCCCTACAAGTTGTCCTCTAACCTACATATACACATATCAATCAATCAATCAATCAATCAATCAATCAATCAATCAATCAATACAATAAAAAAGAAACAACAAAACCACCATGAATTTCCATAGCTTTGAAAATCACAGAACAATTTTAGCTATCTATTAGCTGCTGTCTGATGCAGAGTAATACTTAACTTTGGGAGCATTCAGACAGACCTCTTTCAGGGCTCCTATGATATCAGGACAACTAATAATAAAAGCAGATATATAGAAAGTATTTGCAAAACTGTCAGTTATTTTCTAGGGCAATTTCTCCTTCTGAGTGGTCCTGAGCCTTGAAAGACTGCATATCCATTACAGCGCATGAGCTCATGATCTACCATGATTTAATCTTCATTTCCACTGTCTTTCTTTTCCTAGTCCTCATGTATTCAAAGTACACAGTACAGTTAGAGAGCTACAATGATATTTTGCTTACCAACAGTAGTCACAAACACAAGATGAACAGAGCTTTAATCTTACTAAAAAGCATGTAACAATTCATATCCACTCTTTGTCATATACTGTATATCACTAATAGCACGAAGATATCTCTTTAAAAAGTGGCACATAAGATCTGGTCATTTCTTCAAAGACTTCAAATAAGCTTTGAAAAAAATTCTATAGACAAAACAGGAATGCCAGTAAAGGAGAAAACTCCAGTGAGTTACAGGTAATCAGATCAAAATTTGGAGAAACTACAATGTGAATTCCATCTCAGAGATACCTTTCTAAATACAAAATAAATAAATAAATAAATAAATAAATAAATAAATAAATATAAATAAATAAATACAGACAGACAACTGTACTATACTCGAAAAAGACTAAAACCAAGTGCAGTGTAAGAGAGAGAATTCTTATCCTTAGTATAAATTAATTTGTTTAGCAAATCCTAAAATACTAGGAAAAGGAAGTGCTTTGCAAGATTTAACAAGTAAATAAATGTGTTTATATGTGTGTATCTGCACATATACCTCTATACGTATACATACAACATATCTAGGTTTTTGTATATAACAAGAGATTAAACCAAGCATAGTGGCACACACCTTTTTAATTCCAGTACTATGAAGTAGAGGGAGGCAGATCACTGTGAGATCCAGACCAGCCTGATCTACATATCAAGTTCCAGGCCAGCTGTGACTACAGGTCTCAAAAAGACCAAAATAAAAAAAAAAAAAAAAGGGAGGGGGGTTTAAAAGTCAAAATATTTTGCATATGCATAAGCTATTTTGTAAATGAACTTACATCTATACATATACATACGTAACTAGTGCATATTTGTGCATGTTTTGTGTAAAAAGAGAAAGGTTAAGTATTTTGTTAATAGAACATCAATTTAAAACCCCATCACAGATCATCAGATTCTTTTTCATTTTTATGTCCATGACTATATAAGAAACAAAGTTAAAAAATGAGGGAATATCTTTAAAATTAACATTGTTCTGAGGCAAGTACATTACAACTAAAACCATACTTACTATGCTAGGTGTGGTAGAGCACAACTTTAATCCCACCACTTGAGAGAGAAAGGCAGGCAGATCTCTGTGAGTGGATACCAGCCTGGTCTACATAGGGAGTTCCAGGCCAGCTGGAGCTACCAGGAGACCCTATCCCTATCTCATTCCCACCTCCAAAATTCCCCAAAACAAAAATAAAAACAAAATATACTCACTGAAATAAGTTTATATACATATCCACATCCCTCATATCTGCTTGTAACCAATCTTTCTTAAATCCAAGGACAAGTGTATTTGGTTTCATACGACCAAGACCAGCAGCCTAAAATATATAAATACAATTTTAAATATATACTGTTTAACAAAATGTTTCTTAAAGAGAGGAAACACTTCCAAATTGATAGCCTTTTTCAACTTACATATACAAAATTGATAGATCACATATTACAACTAAACATATATATATATATA